TGTTCAAAAATAATTTTCATAAACTTAAACCTATATAACTTTTTTCTGGATTTACTTTTTTTTTTTTTTACTTCAGCAATAATCTGCCAAGTCTGTGCTCCAAAGCTTAGCTTAACAGACATTTTTGTCCTCTATAGACCTATGTGTAACTGTTTTTTTATTGATGCACAAGGGTTAACCCTTTAGGCGCCAGAGGTTTTTTCCTAAAACGTTCGATTTTGACATCTTAATTTCAAAAGGCTATATCTTAAAAGTGATAAAAGATAGAGACTTTCTGTAAATTAGAGAAATATTAAGGATGACCCAAAGTTTATGTAGGGATTACATTTTCCCATCTAATTTGCATATTATGACGTCATATCGTGGCACAATCTTGGATTATAGAATATTCATGAAAAGTCGCATGTTTAAATGATAAAATGCAGCACTTCTTTCCCCCCAAAATGTCCATCATGATTCCATGTATGGGGCACATATATATTATTCATATGACATACAAACACAAGTAGACAAGACCTGTTTAGTTGAAACGCTCACTCGCCACGGCAAGGCACAGATCACGAGTGAGATGATACGAGCAGCGCGGCCAGATCTGCCTCGCGTGCGCCGAGTGTGCACAGCTCGGACTGCTGTCATTGTGACTCCCCACCCTGCCTCCACGTTGCCTCCTAACTGTCCTATGAATACTTCGACCTCGTCTAACATACTCAGTGGCATTAGACAAAGTCTCCACCACAATACTGTCACCGTGATTGCAGAGAGGCTCTGATAACATGGCTCACTCGCACACTATCTCCGCTTTTGATCTCACTGATTCAATGCGCTCTAACTCAAACATTTTGTATAGAAGCATGGCGTTTTTTTGATTCGGGGATGAAGTATGACATGTCTGCCATCCAGTGGAGGGGAGGTCGAACAAAATTTGACACCCAATTTGACAAAATCTGCGTTTTATTCAGTGCCGCATCTTGTCGAGTAAACCGTGGCGCCTAGAGGGTTAAGATATCATTGATCTCAGCAGAGGAGGATTAAACAACTCCACAAACAGAATTACCAGCTTCACTTATAAACTAATCAGACTGACTTTATTTCTGTCATCCATTTACAGAAGCTCTTATTGAAAATTAACAGATGTTTAGATGTTGATGATTTATTGAAAATGTGTGGTCACCATTATGGTGATCACTGTTTCCTTTAGTTGGGCAGTTTGACTCTTGGCTTTTTATGTGAGTTTGTGGTCTTTGTAACAGTGTTTACTGAAACACATAATTTATTGTCAAGAAAGCCAGGAACAAAGAGGATCAGGTGATATAGTTTTTTTAGCATCATAAAGTAGAATAATACACTAATCTTATCCCTGACCAAAAGTGACTATTTGTTATTAATAGATTATATTTACTAACAATACTTTCTTGCCACAGATTTGACATTTTGAATTTCGATTTTTAAATACATTACAGGATTTTTAGACACACACAGACGTCAAGAATCAACATATGAATCTCAACAATGGTGACATGCTTCATGCCGCAATGCATGCTGGGAGCCACCCATAATATAAAACTCATGGTTCCCAGTATGCATTGCGGCATGAAGCATGTTACACCAGACAACTCTATATAGTATGATATTGGACTTATTTTGATATTTTTTAAATACATTTTGTCCAACAGCCCAAGCATGCATACAGGCCTATATAATGGCGTGTAAAACAAATTTATAATTTATAATCAGCTCCATATTGGATTCCAAGTGATCAAGAGCTTAGAGCATTTCATTCAAACACATTTCAAGAGTTCACCAGTAGTGGACACTCGTGCAACATTAGCGAGGGATGAGCATAAAGAGTGGAGGTAAACACAGCCTCGCCCTGCGTCTCAATGTCCACACTATCCTTCCTAAACAGTGTGTGAGATTAAAATAAGTGTCCCAAAGCGTAGTGTGTTGAAGAGTGTGCCAGAAGTCCCCGGATGGTCTAGTTTGCCCGGTGTGTTTTCGACCCATACTCACTATAACGGCTGATTTTACCCACAACCCTATTTTTCTTTAAGGTCAAAAATATCATTTTAAAAAAGATAAGCGCCAAAGTCGCAAAATTGCGACGTCATACTTAATAAAACAGGCAGATCGGAATATGGTGTAATATCTAATTTGTATTCCCTACCACTAGATGGCAGACATGTAATACTTCGATTCAAGATCAAAATGATGTCATGTTCCTATTCAAAGTGTTGGAGGAAACAGCAGAGCAAGTGAGCGATCGTGTCATTGATGCGGAAGCAGTTCAGTTCAGAGCGTCTGAGTAAATTGTGAGATTTGTGAGAGAAAATCGTCAAATGGCTAATAAAAACTTGTACCATGAGGATGTGTTGCAAATGTTATTCGCCGATTCTGACTCTAAAGGGGAATATTTGCCTTTTGTAAATGACGATTGGCCGTCTAATGATCGCGCTTCTCCTGGTACAACTTTGCCGCGCAATGGTGCCGCGCGTGCTTCTCCCGGTACAACTTTGCCGCGCAATGGTGCCGCCCGCGCTTCTCCCGGTACAACTTTGCCGCGCGCGCTTCTCCTGGTACAACTTTGCCGCGCAATGGTGCCGCGCGCTTCTCCTGGTACAACTTTGCCGCGCAATGGTGCCGCGCGCGCTTCTCCCGGTACAACTTTGAAGCGCAATGGTGCCGCCCGCGCTTCTCCCGGTACAACTTTGAAGCGCAATGGTGCCGCCCGCGCTTCTCCCGGTACAACTTTGCCGCGCAATGGTGCCGCCCGCGCCTCTCCTGGTACAACTTTGCCGCGCAATGGTGCCGCCCGCGCTTCTCCCGGTACAACTTTGCCGCGCAATGGTGCCGCGCGCGCTTCTCCCGGTACAACTTTGAAGCGCAATGGTGCCGCCCGCGCTTCTCCCGGTACAACTTTGCCGCGCAATGGTGCCGCGCGCGCTTCTCCCGGTACAACTTTGAAGCGCAATGGTGCCGCCCGCGCTTCTCCCGGTACAACTTTGCCGCGCAATGGTGCCGCCCGCGCTTCTCCCGGTACAACTTTGCCACGCAATGGTGCCGCGCGCGCTTCTCCCGGTACAACTTTGAAGCGCAATGGTGCCGCCCGCGCTTCTCCCGGTACAACTTTGCCGCGCAATGGTGCCGCGCGCGCTTCTCCCGGTACAACTTTGAAGCGCAATGGTAACGCCCGCGCTTCTCCCGGTACAACTTTGAAGCGCAATGGTGCCGCCCGCGCTTCTCCCGGTACAACTTTGAAGCACAATGGTGCCGCCCGCGCTTCTCCCGGTACAACTTTGCCGCGCAATGGTGCCGCCCGCGCCTCTCCTGGTACAACTTTGCCGCGCAATGGTGCCGCCCGCGCTTCTCCCGGTACAACTTTGCCACGCAATGGTGCCGCGCGCGCTTCTCCCGGTACAACTTTGAAGCGCAATGGTGCCGTCCGCGCTTCTCCCGGTACAACTTTGCCGCGCAATGGTGCCGCGCGCGCTTCTCCCGGTACAACTTTGAAGCGCAATGGTGCCGCGCGCGCTTCTCCCGGTACAACTTTGCCGTGCAATGGTGCCGCCGTGCAAGGCGCGAGTGTTCACGAAGCACAAACAGATCATTTTGACCATTTGCCCAACGGGGATGGCGGGGGTGGACGTGGTCTCAGTGTACACAGGACAGCTGTTGCTAGAGGTAAAGGCAGCAGGTTTTCACATGTGTTTTACTGCTAAAGTATTGTAATATAGTGATAATTTAGTACTTTCTCCTATTTTATTGTTGGTTTCCTCTTTTCCGATCATTTGGAATGAGGATAAAAAAAAGAAAAAAGAAACATGTAAATTAATTCCAACATCAATTCAATATCTACTATTTCCTGAATATTACTGATGAACTGATCAAAAAGTAGGCTACTGTTCACATGCGTTTTACTACTATATAGTATAGTAATAATTTAATACTTTCTCCTGTTATTGTTGGTTTCCTCTTTTCTCATCATTTGGAATGAGCATTAAAATAAATAAATACATAAAACATGCAAATAAATTCAAACATCAGTTAAATATCTACTATTTCCTGGATATTATGAAATTTAAGAGGGCCACCCCCTGATGACGTCATAATATACTAATTAGATGAGTATATTTACACCCCAACATTTTTCTAATTTACAGTAGATCTCTATCTTTAAGCCCTTTCAAGCCACAAGCTTTTGAAATTTTGATGTCAAAATTCTGTGCCGATGGCTTCTGTCTTTGTCTATAATTGTCCTCAATTCTCCTTTTCAGCTCAAGCTGATACAACAACACAAGACACAAAATCTCAGGATCCTGCAAACACACAAGGTTCATAATCAGAGTCTTTAGTCTTTGTCTATAATTGTCCTGAATCTGGCCTGTCCGTCTCTGACTCTGAGCTCGATCTCTTCTTCAGTCATAGGGATTTCTGTCGCTGCAGTCGCTGTTCTCCTTCTTGCTCTTCTCTGGCTGATCTGCAGAAAAACAGCTGGTGAGTTTTCACATTTACTCCTTTATAACAATTAAAAACAGTTCAGATGAGCAAACAAACACATCATGTTCAGACTGTAAGTATCACAGAAACATGTGGATTATATGAAATTCTCAAACAGAAGTTTATTCCTGCTGAGAAATCCTGTAATGTCAATCTCAACGAGATATCAAGTCAACAATCATTTGTATTGTTCATTTTAATGCTTCAACACAATCTGATTGTCCATAAATACTCATATTTCACGAGGCACTTGTTTTCAGATAATAAAAGAAGGACTGCCGACTCTGCGGTGAGTTCAGTAATGCAGTGATTTAGATTTGATTAATGTCTTTAAAGCTCAATAAAGTGTCATTCATGCAGTTTAACTGTTTGTTCTGAAGGTCAAAGATGAGAATGAACATACAGGGACGTATGAGACGATCAACATGTCCACTCCTCCTGCAAGAGCCGATGTGAGTCACTAAATCATCAAACATTACGCTCACTGTCTGTTCAATAATGTGATTTAAAAGCTTTTGTGTTATTCTACATATTATAGTGAGATATGTGTGTGTTAAACTTGACTCTCTGTACGTTTGCATTGATGTTTAGGAGCAGACAGATGATGTGACTTATTCTGAGGTCACTTCTTTCAATACAAAGCCAGTAAAAGCGCTCAATGTGAGTAGATACCAGCACATTCCCTTGTTCTTCATCACTGTCCATCATCACTGACTCTCAGATAAATGAAGCTCATGCTCTAATAATGGTAATAATAATCGCTGTGGTTCAAACATTGATGGACAGAATCTGTGCTGTTCTTTCAGGATCATGATGATACAGTGACTTATGCTGCCATCAGAGGAAGAGAAGAACCGCAGGATGAACTTTACGCCTCTGTGAACGAGAACAAGACCTTCACAAATACACATTAATGATACAGATCATGAGCTCATCCCAGATAGCAACATTGTTTCAGCACAGATCTGGCCCACATGCTGCGTGGAAGGACGGCCCTAGGGCGGACCGCTCCTGTTTGCCAGATCTGGGCCACAAGCAGGCCATAGCAATGCCACATGTCAGCCAGAGCAAAGAAATAAACCAGAACTGGACCTTGACCCACACAAGTGCCAGATGTGGGCCGGATCTGGGCCGAAACAATGTTGCTATCTGGGATCGTATCAGGATATCTGGTGTTTGGAGGAAATGTATACTTGTGTGTGAACGAGCAGATATTTGTTGAATGTCCTGTGAATATGAATGAGATTTATTGTGAGTCATCATCTGGTCTGTCGTCGGCCAGAGCACAGAATCTCCTCTATATCATCACAGCTACAGTAAAGATAGAGATTATCCGCTGGATTTCTGTCTGAAAACCTTCATCTTCATGCAGAAGCTCATGCTGAATGATCCTCTTGCTTCAGCTTGTATATCAGCTGTTTCTTCTACAGAGAGACGTCCGTCTGAGAATTACATCAGTGTCTGCTTGCATTATATTGTCATCAAATATTCAAAAGTTTTACTTTGCAGTGTCTATATGTTACGAAATGTCAGTTATTTCTTTCTTTTTTTTCACATGTGACAATAAAGAGCATGATAAATCATGATTTAAAAGTTGTCGTCTCTTCCATTCCTGTAAAAACAGACGTAACTAAACTTGCTCTTGTTAGCTGGAAAGTTTCATGGTTAGAATTCACGATTTAAATAAATTCTTCTATGAAGGTAAAAGAGTAGCAAAATTCGAGAGCTTGTAGATTAGAATTTGAGAACAAAATTTTCATGTTTGTAAGCTGAAATTTACCCTCATAGTTCTGACGTGAAAGTTAATTTTTTAATTCACACAGACAATAAACTAGTCAGACTTTACCAACTAAGTCCAAACGTCGAGCGAGGTGAGATGACCATTACACTGACCTCGTACCTTATGCACACGATGATGTTGAAACGATGGAATCTCGTTTACACTGCAGGTTTTGATGCCCAATATTGATTTGTTGCCTATATCCATTTTTTTTCTGTCAAAGATACTAGAAAAGGCAGTATCTTCACAACTATGTTCCTTTTTAGAAAGAATTTTCAGTCCGGATTTAGACCGTATCATAGTACTGAGACATCTCTCATCACAAATGATTTGCTCATCATCTGATCGTGGTTGTATCTCTCTATTAGTGTTACTCGATCTTAGTGCTGCATTTGACACCATTGACCACAACATTCTTTTAAATAGACTCGAAAATTATGTTGGCATTAGTGGAATTGCACTAGCATGGTTTAAATCATACTTATCAGACCGTTATCAGTTTGTAGCAGTAAATGAAGAGATGTCTTATCGATCACAAGTTCAGTATGGCGTACCACAAGGCTCAGTACTAGGACCGCTGCTGTTCACTCTGTACATGCTACCCTTAGGAGATATCATTAGGGAACATGGAGTTAGCTTTCACTGTTATGCCGATGATACTTAGCTCTATATTTCTTCACACCCTGACGAAACATACCAATCCACAAAATTAACGGAATGCATAGCTGATATACAAAACTAAATGACTAGTAATTTCCTACTACTGAATTCTGAAAAAACAGAGATTCTTATTATTGGACAAAAAACTTCTGTCAAGTCCTCGTCGTCGGTTAGGAACCTGGGTGTGCTCTTTGATACCAATCTTTCATTTGAAAGTCACATGTCTAGTATCTGTAAAACTGCATCTTAAAAATATATCTAAATTACGTCATATGCTCTCACTGACAAATGCGGAACAGTTAATTAATGCGTTCATGACCTCAAGGCTAGATTATTGTAATGCTCTACTGGGTGGTTGCCCTGCACGCTTAATAAACAAACTCCAGCTGGTCCAAAACGCAGCAGCTCGAGTTCTTACCAGAACCAGGAAATATGACCATATTAGCCCGGTTCTGTCAACACTGCATTGGCTCCCTATTAAACATCGTATAAATTTTTAAATATTGCTGATTACTTACAAAGCACTAAATGGTTTAGCTCCGCAGTACTTGAGCGAGCTCTTAACGCATTATAGTCCTTCACGTCTATTGCGATCTCAAAATTCCGGCCAGTTGATAATACCTAGAATATCTAAATCGACTGCTGGTGGTAGATCCTTTTCCTATTTAGCACCAAAACTCTTGAACAATCTTCCTAACATTGTCCGGGAAGCAGACACTGAACACTTCCTCAAATCTGCTTTATCAGCGTTTAACCTATTCTGAGAACAGAGCTATTCTCTGAATGTGTTCAAATGCATCTGCAAAATCAGCATCATCTGGAAATCCCACTGAATGCTACACTTGAAGTCCATTTCAGAGTCTTATATCTGAGCTTTCTCTATTCTCCCGAGTAACTCTCTCAGTTAAATCATCTAAAAGACAACATTTGATGTTTTGCATATGTGATAGTCCTATTTCTCTTTATTTTGCAGATTTTAAACACACATAAACACTAACATTTTACATTAAACATTTCCTTTATCGCATTTACAGTCAATGAAGAACTCATGATGGTGTTCCAGCATCTACCAGCAGAGGGTTGATGAGATTATTCAGTCAATTCCTGACCCAATCCCAGATGAAAACAGTGAGGATCAGGCACTCTTTTAGAAAGACAAGTTTCGGGCTATGCTTTTGGACTCTGCTCATGCTCATGCTCTGCTCTGCTCATATATATCATAAACAGGTAAGAGCTTAAATATATACTTACCTGTCAATGGGTGTTTGAGTCTACTCTCCCTATAAAAGCGAGGCCAGACTCACAATCAGGACTTGTTGACTGCAACTGCGGCGCCTCAAGCAAACCTTTGTGTACTGTGGATACGGTTTGGAGAGTTTTCGCCTTTATTTTTTATTTATTTATTTTTGGTACTTTTTAGGTTTTTGTGTGCACCTGGATATATACTTCACAGTGGACTGTCTCTCTTATTGGCACTGTAAATAAAATACACCTTGCACGAGAGTGCTCTGCGAGTAAGCATCACTTGTTTTCATCCTCATGCACCCCAGTTACCGTTTTTCCAGTGGCACTCGCTTCATCACAGTCGGCAAGCACAGACCCATCCTCGACCCATCTTCAGTGTTCTGGCTGAATGAAGGAGGTTCTCGTTTAAGATTTTACGGTGCATTGGCCCCTCAATAAAGTCGTCCTGTACCTTTACCAGAAAAACCGCCCAAAAGCATGATGTTTCCACCGCCGTGCTTCACTGTAGGGATGGTCTTCTTGGGGTCATAGTCAGCATTTCTCTCCCTCCAAACACGGCGAGTTGAGTTGATGCCAAAGAATTAAAAATGTTGGTCTCACCTGTCCACAGCACTTTCTCCCAAGCCTTCTCTGAATCATTAGATGTTGATTGGCAAACTTCAGATGGGCTTGAACATGTGCCTTCTTGAGCGGGGGACCTTGCGGGGGCTGAAGGATTTCAATCCATTGCGGCGTAGTGTGTTACCAATGGTTTGCTTGGTGACTGTGGTCCCAAATTTGCCCATTGGCCTCTGTCCATCATGGCCTCCTGATCATCTAAACATACTAATTGGCTTCATCACTGTCTCCTCTCCACCAGTAAGTTGGTGTGTGTGTGTGTGTGTGTGTCGCATCATCCAGGTGGAGCTGCACATTAGTGGTGGTTGAGGAGATTCCCCCTTCCATGTAAAGCACTTTGAGTTAGGGGTGACCGATTATCGGCGCCGATATTAATCATTTTTATGGTTATCGGTATCGGTCATTTTCAAAACCGATTTGCCGATAAAATAATTTTATTTTGAAATGCGCTATATTTGGCTCTAACGCAGCCACATCTGTCGGAACTCACCACTCTGTAGACTAGACTAATGTCCCCGCCCATCTGAGTTGTTGGGAGTCAGAGTCCGGCGGATCAACGCGGAAAGCTGAAGGCACTGAAAGTTTTGCACTCTCACACCGAAAGCTCTTGCAGACTGGAGCTGCTTCACTGATCATCAGTTGTCTCTCAAAGTTGAGGCAGCAGCAGACTTTGCTGAAGAAGCAATACATTACTACACTGAAGTTGCAAAATACCTCAATATAATAGAGCCCTGTGATTTCCGCGATGCAGAAAACAGACGAAATCCAGTCATAAAAACAGAATTTACTGTATAAAGCAGAATATCACGGAATTTGTCAACTTTTTGATGAATTAATAAAAAGCAGGTCAGCACAAATCAAATCGAATTTCA